AATTATTGTCATAAACATTATTATTTCTATTATTATTAATAATATCCCTATTATAATTATTATTATTACCATTATTATTGTCAACATCTCTATTATTATCATCAACATCATCATTATCATCATCATCATTATCGTCATCATCATAATCATCATTGCTATTGTCATCATTATTGTTATCGACATTCTTATTATTATTGTCATTATTTTTATTGACATTCTCATTTTCATTATTATTATTATCAATCTTATTATCATCTTTATCATCTTTATCATTATTATTATCATTAACAACATCGTCACTATAAACATTATCATTATCGACATCGTAATTATCATTATCATCATTATTATTATTAGCTTTTTTATTAGTTTTATTATAATTATTCTTATAATCATTATTATTATCATCATCATGATTTATAATATCGTCATTACTATTATGAGTATCATTATTGTTATAATGGTCATCATTATTATCCACATCATTATTATTATTATCATCTTTACTATAATCATTATCATGATATTTATATCATAATTATAATTATTATCGCCATCTTACCGTCATTGTTATAATCTTCATTATAATTATTAATAACTTCATTTTTACCATTATCATTAACATCACTATTTTCATTACTATTCTTACCATTATTATTATCGACATCTCTATTATCATTACCAACATCATCATTATCATCGTTATCGTCATTATCATTATCATCATTATCATTGTCATCATTATTGTTATCGTCATTATAATTATAGTTATCATTATTACATCATTATCATAATCATTATTATTTTCGTTAACATTATTATTATTATCGTTAATACTATTAATGACATTATTATCACGATAATTATTATGATCAGACATATCTCTATCATCATAATTATTATCGTCATGATGATTAATAATATCGACATTATTATCATAATTATCATGACTATCAGTATTTTTATTATTATTATCATTAACATTATATTAATCATTTTCATCATTATTATCTTTATAACCATCATCATCAGCATCATCATGTTCACTTCTATTATTGTTATTGTGATCATGATTATTATCATCATGATCACGTTGATTATCATCATTATTATCCTCAACATCATTACCATTATCATTATTATCATCGTCACCATCATGATAATCATTATCACCGTCATTATGATTGTTATCGTCATTATTATTGCGATTAAAATCATCATCATTGTCATTATCATCATCATTATCTCCATCATCATACTCAACATTATCACAATCAACATCATCAAGATCATCATTATCGACATTATTACTCTAATCAGCATCATTATTGTTATTACTATCACCGTCATCATCATCATTATTATTATTATCATTATCATCATCATTGTTATGCCACAATTATGATCATCGTGTTTTATTACCGGCACTGTGGTCATAACTACTATTATAACGATTATTATTGTCATCACTATTGACATAGTTATTTTTCTCATCATTATCTTTGTTATTATCATTATCATAATTATCTTTATCATCATTGCCATCATCATCGTTATTACTATTATCATCATCAATATTCACACGATCATCATTGTCGCGTTACCATGACTGTCAGCCTTGTCAATTTACCTTTATTATCATTCTAATTTTTATCTTTATTGACAATGTTATGTTTATTATTAGTTATCATAATTATCATTATTATTATTGTCATAAACGACATAATTCTTACTAACGTCATTAACATTCTCATCATTATCATTATTTTTACTATAGCCACAAATATTATCGTCGCGCCCTTATCACCATTGACCTTCTTATAATAACTATCCTTATCACACTTATTATTATTACCATGAAAATAACAATTGCTGTAAGTCTTATGATCATCTTAATGATAACTACCATTAGTATTAAAATCACTGACATATATCAAAATCATTGTCAATAACACCTTCAGATGTATTTCTATCATCATAATTATTGTCATAATCATCATCATTGTCGTCATCATCATTGTTATAACCATCATTATTACTGCTACGTTTATTATTATTAAGTCCCTATCGACATCGCCCCCACCATAATTATCATCATTATTTTAATTATTATCATTATGAACATTGTTATTATAATTATCGTAATTATCTTTATCATTATTATCATCTTCAACATCACGACTTATAATATTGTTACTATCATTATCATAATTATCATCTTTATTATTACCATCATCATTATCTTCATCATCATTATCATTATTATAGACATTATCTATATAATCAGCATTATCATTACTATCACTTCTATCGTCATTATTATGACCATTATCATAATTATTGCCACGATTATAATTATCGTGTCTCTATCCCCGGCAGCCTGAACATAACCACAATTATAGTCATTATCAACTTAATCATTATTGACGTTGTGATTATTATTATCATTACCATTAAATTATTGTTATTTTAATTTACTGCATCAATATCCTGGACGTTCTAATTATCCTTAACGTCATTATCATTATCATTATTATTTATATCATTAATAACATTTTCGTCATTATAGTTATCGTTATCACTATAATTATCTTTACTATTATCATTATCATTATCATTATAACCTTTTTTATCATCATCATCTTAAACATTAACATTATCCTTATTGTCATCATCATTATCATCATCAATATCACCATCATCATCATCATCATTACTGCTACCATCATGATCGTCAGCTTCCTATCACTGTCACCATTGTCATAGTTAGCATCGTTATTATCATTATCTACATCTTTATTGACATTGTCA